CCATTTGCTTATGCTATAGTATGGACATTGTACCACCTATAAAGAGGCAATTTCTTTCTTTGCTGCAAAGAACTGCTCAGGTCTTCTTTTGTTTTAGGGTGGATTTTTGCTTGTTTGTTTGCTTGTTTGTGAGGTTTTTTTTGGAAATGAGCTCTGTAGAACCCAACTTTTCACAATGAGTAAGTCAAGAAAAATAGATGTGACTGTCATCTCAAATGTTCTCTATCTGAGAGGTATATAGTGATTTTCAAAATTGCGGTTTATTTTTTCTTTGGAAGGGCACATCTCACATTAATCTATTTCACTAGAAAGGCAGAGAGTGTAGGCAATACTCTATGAACAGCCTCAAGTCTCTGCCTTCTGCTTCTTGTCTGTAAGCCACATCACTCATTTTTCTTCTCCTACAAGTAATTAAAAAAAAAAAAGGGGAAGAAGGTGAGATAGTAAGTTAGTAGAAGAGTAGGCAGTTTCTGGGGTGACTAAGAAAACAACATCTTTCCTCACAAATTCTTGAGTAAAATTCAACCAGGCAATAATATTAAATCCATTAGCTTTCAGAATGCATTCTGTATATGTGTATACTCTTCTTAGGACAGCTAATTTGTGCTAATCCTTGCTGTACCATTACTGAAAAGAGCTACCTTTAGAGTGGACCCACAGGAAGGAGTAAGGTCAGGTAGGTGTTTGGTTCAGATTCTCCTCTTGCTGCTTATGTTCTCTTGGGCACTTGAAGAAATAAGTAAAATTACAGGTTCCAAACTGATATGCTTGTTTTTATGCTATGTTATTGCCAGCACTCTTAGGGGAATTTGAGAAGAAATTCTCAGAATGTAACACACAAACCAGTGAGTGCACCTGGAGAAATAACAGCTATGATATCATGGAGATACTTCTACTTAATTTTCAAGTAAGTCAAATGGGTCATACAGAAGCAAAAAATGTGGAGTAGGCAACTGAGTACATTGTGAAAATAAAGATCAACTCCTTTTGATAGCAGCACCTTCTCTTTAAGTTGCAATGAGCAAACAAGATGGAGACATCTCCTTTAGGCCAAGTGTGGCAACTGAAGAAATATTTGGGCTTTGGAAAATAACCTTTTTATGATGAATCAAACAACTACCAGGGATGCTGGAATATATCACAGCCTTACGACAAAGGCTGCGCTAATCTTCTCTTATGCTATCTCTCTATGAAATAGTAATGTTTAACATAACTTAGATTAATACCCTGAGACAGAGAATGCAATGCTCCTCACATTCTCACCAAACTAACTTGCTGTGAATGGAATGAGTGCTCCAGGGCAGGGGAGATATGTCCCAGTCAATGCTCTGTCCCGAAATGGTGCTGCTGCCCTTCAGTAAGGAAGGCAAAACATGCTTTGCCAGACTGTTGCTCAGGTAAGTGGATTAAATCCAATGCAAGCAATGAAGCCTTTGCACCACTCTCCTATGACATAAAAATTGCCTTATATTTCCATGGAAAAGTTATCTCAGTCATGGTTGGCATGTAAATACTTTCCAGTGGGGTTTCCACGGAAACAGGAAAAGCGGTGCGCATGTGTGCGTGTGTGTGTGTGTATGTTCGTGCATGTGTGCGTGTGTGTGGGGGCGGCAGGAAAAGGTGTTATCTTCAGATTGGAAACTATTTTTAGGTAAGCCACAGGTTAAAACAGCTACCAAATGCTAGTTAAGAAGGTGGCAGGGGGTGGAACTGGACTTCTCAGAAGGATCACGTTCTGAAGGGCACTTTATAAAACATTTAATGAGCTAGTAAGTGTCCTTTCAGTCTTCCTTCATTTTCTTGTGCATGTTTGGTACCACTCTATCAAGTGGTATTATATAACAGAGTCTTCTCCTCTGTGGCAACCTGCTAAAGGTTAAGAGAAAGAATGCTGTAAGTAGAACAAAATCCCCAAGGAAGATGCAATATCCAGCAGAAAGGAAGGCAATTTCTGACTTCAAATAAAGCAGTAATATCTTACAGATGGTATGGTGGGAGGAGGTATTGTTCCCTCCTGTGCTGGCTAAGAAATAGGAAGGAGACTGTAGCCGTCTGTCCTTCTTAGCTGATGATCCCAGTTTTATCAAAGAGTAGGATATCAGCTGCTACTTAAAGTAAAGTGGGGCGATAAGAGTCTCACTATCTGGCAGAAATGTTGCTGGGTACATTTTCTGGACACCTTTTTTGAATTTCTACATTAGGAGAGAGTTTTTCTTGTTGCTCAAGGGCTTGAGCTAGAAAGAGAACAGCTGAATTTCCGTGGAGCACAGTGGAGTAAGAAAAATGAGAGTTAAAGTCTAGGAAAAAGGGAAAGGAAAAAGCAAGACAGTTGAATTTGGAAGAGAGAAATGAAGACATTAAACCAAAACAAAACAAACTCCCAAATAAACTAGGTGAAATCCACCTAGTTATGACACCTTGCAGAAGTCATTAACTTGACAGTGTCCTAGCATCTGTCTTTTGTGGTGTTTCAGCTCTGTGTAAGCCTTTCCTTCTTTTTGAAAAAGAAGAAAAGGAGAAAAGACAAAGAATTTGGGAAAAAATATTAAGAAGTTCCTTAAAAGCCCTTAAAGAAACCAGGAAACTACATAATGGCAATTGGGAGTATTATCCTTAAAAAAAATTATTTTTCAAGTATATAAAAATCAAAATACAATATGAAAGCTATTTTTTTCTCCTTTGCTTGCAGTCTTAGCCTGGACCATCTTTTCACAAGGGTCTTTTCCTCAACTTTGTAATTTTAAAATAATAGGGAATTTATAAGTAAAATGGACTTATGTGCATATTCTGTTTTTACTAGAGGAACATAGAATATTTAATGTACTTATTTCAGACAATTCTAGCTCCAATATAGAGATTGATATTCTAAAATGCTTGTTTCCAGGGATTTAGACCCAGACACTATAATCTGCATCAGTAAAAAGTAAGAAAAAACCCAGAAATATGCTTGTTTTGCAAGATGGGAAAGCATGAAGACCATAGTGGAACTTGACAATGGAGGAGAAAGAACAAGATGCTTATGCAGGTCTTCTGTACCATCATGGCAAACAAACTTCACATTGACCTGCCATGTGTCTAGAGCCATTTCTCATCCTGCGGTTTTCAGGACAGCATTTTTCCCCCCAAAGGCGTACTTGAAGCTTTGTCAGTCCAGACTGACAGTCCAGAGTGCCAGTTGTCTCTCGTTTTCTCAGTTCAAAATTATCATTACCACAACATGGAGGCACTAACATTTTTTTGGAGGGATTTTTGTAAGCAGCACTTATGGATCACAAAACCTTATCCTTAGACTACACAAGTGGAAAACCAGAGACAAGCAATTTTATACTGTCTTTCCAAATTCTGGCACTGCAGCAATCCCTTTTGCATTAGAGTAAGGAAAAATAATCTAAATTTCAAGCTGCTTGATTGAATTCTACTTAGAAACAGAAGCAAATGGTATCAATATACAACGGGGAACACTTGGTTACAAAAAGATCAAAATTCAAGACCATTTGTAGGTAAAGTTTTGAAAAGCTAAAAAGAAGACCTAGGAGGGCAATGACCAAGTTACCTTCTTCAAATTGTAATATTCATCAATGGAAATGGTTACAGAAATGCTATGAGTTGTTGCTTGCAAACTTTGTCTTCTATAAATTGAGAGTAATCTTATTAGTGTCCGTTAAGTCAATACACAGAGAAGAAGGAAACTGAACCACCCAGTGTTAGCTCCAAAATGATGCTAGAGTTTGGAAAGATGTTTAAGGAAGCCATATACAAAAAGCCAGGCAATACATTGAGGGGAGCCTCTGGTATACTACAGACTTGGCAGAGACCCTGACAAGGAAGTAAGGTCCCAAGTATTATGGAAGCCTATTTACTTGTTCCATGGATGAGTAGACTATTTGTATTACAACTTCTCAAAAATTCCAGTATGTACTTTTAAATTACAAAATATGTTTCAGCAATACTCAAGCAGCCTAAGAAAGCTGCCAGGTTAACACTGAAAGAGGACAAAATTGGAAAGGCCACTGGGGAGGAATCCAGCATGGACCATCTCAAAATGCTGTTAGTAGACTGCTAATTTTTATTTTGACAGCAGATACCTGAAATACTTTCATTCAGATTGATGAAGCTAAATCTGCAGACTCATTCCTCCACCAGAGGAGGAACAAACTGCCCTGCTTTGCTCTATTGTGCCATTTGGATAAGGATAAATAATGTATCCCACATCTAATACAGAAGAATCATTGTTCAGGATGTCCTAATACTTGCTGAAATTAACATAAAAGTTCCAAAGCCTGCATAACTGCAAATTTAAACTGTCTAAAGGGAGATGAAAGGAATTGCACATTGCTGAGTAATGTACTCTTGCAATAATTTTCCCTTCTTCCCCTGCAGTGGATTGAGACTGAAAACATTATCTCAAATGATAAAGCTCTTTGACCTTGCAAATTTCTGAAGCCTAGGAAATGTTTTATTACAATGTAAATTAAAAGCATGTGGACATTGCTGTGATACATGATTGCTTAAGATTGCTTTTTCTTCATTGTTTCCACTGAACATACTCAGTGGGACAAAAACCTTATGAAGCAAGATAACAGAAGGCCGGATGCAGAAGTTTGTGTACAGGTCATCTTTCATAATAAATTTTGACTATTTCATGATGCACATCATGACAGGTTCTCTCTAAGAGAACAGGTTTTGTGCCATGTGACAAGCAATTTCTATTAGCTATATTTATGGCTTCAAACATCTTATCTGTAAAGTAAAAATGCATTTCCCAAAAGAATAGATTCCAGACTCCTACCTTACCTTACACTAAAGGGCAGGGACAGAAGGCAAGATCTTTTACATATGGCAAACTGGGTTCAGCTGTAAATGAAAACTAAATATTATGTAGTCACTTCATACTGTCAGCTTCTTTCTATTAAGATGTTTGCTTTCAGTGAAAAGCACAATCAAACATGCAATATATTTGCTAACACAAGAATAAAAAGAAGAATAAAAAAGTCATTAACCTCTTCAACATTATGGGCGATTCCATTCTGCACTGGTCCTGAATCACTTGGTGGTGTTACTGCAACTTCCACTTTTGCACCTTTCTCTGTGGCACCATCCATAGATAAGAGAGGGAAAACAACAGATCAGAATATTAAATTACAAATATACTATTGAAATAGCTGTCATATATTCAGTCTGAGCAAATGATCAAATACTAATGTTGAGTCAACATCTGTGTTAAAAGAGAAAGAAAAGAATTTGCCTAGTACACATTTTCAATAAAAATCTTATAAGCAATGAGCTAGCATTTTGAGAAATATCTAAGTTCATTGCAATATTCAGTGCTCTTTGTTTAAGCTAAATGCACTGAGCCTAATACTTCAGGTAGAAAGTGACATAGAGCATTCACCCCCTGACTTTATAGAATGCACCATCCTGAATATAGGTGAGGGGATATATTCAGCAATGAAAGCTTTATAACACACTAACCCCTGCAATTGGCAAAGTCAAAGCTTCAAAGCTGTAATCCTGCTGTCTTCCCTGCAAAAATGTGGGAAAGAATAAACATATGGTGTAATAATATCTAATAATATCTAATAATAGAGGACGATCTTTAAACCAGAATCCTGCAGTCCTTGTTCTAAACTTGCACAGGAATTAAAGGAATAAAGTCAGGCCTTAGATTTATGATGCCAAATTTATTAAAATTTATTCTTACTTTGACTATCTTGGAATTCTCTAAGCGGTAATTACCTCTATAAGTATGTGGTACATAAAGGTGTCAATGGCCCAAAATCCCTTGGACAATACAAAGTAAGGGGGAATAGCAATATGAAATGCCTTACTCAAGTTCAACATGCCTTATGGCATGCTCTTGTACATAGAAGTAAATACAGCTGTCTAGTTACATTACTGCTATCCTGAGATTCTTCTAAATTAAAAATCTGAGATCACAGCCACAGCAGAGTGCCAGACTATCTGTAATTATTTCAGTATATGTGTGTTGTCTCTTAACCCCACACTCAGCATTTTTGTTTATTAACAGACCGTCCCAACCAACTGCCTGATTTTGGAAGCAAATACTATGTAAACATAACACAAGGTCAGAAAATGTGTCAAGTAATAAAATTATTCAGATTTTATTGGACACATTTGTATCTGGTTTTCTAATGCAGATAATAGGATGAGGTAAAGTAGAGAAAACAGGTCATGGTACAGATTTTCCTTTAGCATAGGAACTTTGGAACTAAAATAAAAGTTCTTGCCTTAATGGCAAACTCTAGTAAGTCAATTTTCCACAATTTGCATAGATGGGCCTCAGTGACTCCCAGAAAGCAGTACACAGACAAATCAAATCTTAAATATGAAGGTGATGCTTTTTGTGATGAGGGTGGGACCATATAAAGCACATCTTCTACTAGAGCATTTCAATAAATTAATTAAATTTTTCTGTATATATGGCAAGGAAATTTTGCCTCTCTTTCACTTCAACACATAACCAAAATCAGCTTTGCTTTTTTCTTTTCAACCTGCCTGGAAGGCTTTCTATATGCCTTGACTGGCTTTCTATTCTTGCATTTAACTTCTGTCCCATCCATAAATTTCATATTCTTTGGTACAGAGAATCAGAGTATTTTTACTAAAATAGCACATGTAATGTAGGAGAAAGTAATGATTAAAAATTTTCAAACAAAATAAAACAGTGAAAGAGACTCTCAGGCAAGTGATAAATCTGCAGTGCTGCACTCACCATGATTAGCCGCTCCATTCTGCCTTTCACTGTCTTCCACCTGGCACTTTTTTTTGGCAATCTTATGCAGAATTGAGGCCCTTTCCTTGAACTTTCCTAAAAGAAAACATTGTCGTTATTACAATGCAGCCATTTTGAGATGCTAAGTTTATTTTCCATAGCTTAGTCTCCATAGATCACTGCTGATAATCCGTTTCAATTCCTCCTCAAACAGCAAATATGCTATTAAACATTATCTCATGTTCCCATTTACAGGGTTGGGGATTTTTTCTTTCTTTCTTTTTTTTGTAGAAATAAAAATGTAATTTTTTTTGAGAACTCGGCAATGAATAGAACAAGAAATTGAAACCAAAAGCTATGATTTTTCTTTGGAAGAAGATAGTACAGTTTCATCTATAAATATGCTGGTGTAAGATTTCAGCTGAAGCAGATGATGAATACAGATGAATCAAGAGATCATAAATAAAAACAAACTGTTTCAGTTCTCATTTAGTAGTACTGTAGAACAAAATTTCATATTAACACATATATTGCATTAGAGTGAGTGTGGTCAGTTTTGTCACTTTGGACTTATTTATGTGTCTGTGACTTCTGCTCACTTCAGTGCTTGGTAAAATTATGAAGAAGATTATTCTGGGATTTACTGAAAAACACCTGAAAGACAACACTATCACTTATCACAGCCAGCATGGCTTCATGAGAGGAAAGTCCTGCTTATCTAACCTGATTTCCTTTTATGATAAGGTAACACACCCTGTTGATAAACGTCAACTAATTTATGTGATCTTTTTGGATTTCAGTAAATTTTTAAATACTGTCTCTCACAGGTTCCTTCTGGACAAAATGTGCAGCCCACAGCTGGATAAACACATCATGGGATGGGTGTGCAACTGGGCCACGGGTCAGGCACAAAGGGTTCCAGAGAGTGGGGTGACATCAGACTGGGGACCTGTCGCTAGTGGGGTTCCACAGGGCCCCATGCTCGGCCCTCTGCTCTTCAACATCTTCAAAAATGACTTGGATGTAGAACTGGAAGGAATACTCAGCAAGTTCCCAAAAAGGGAGGAGCTGCTGACTCCCTCAAAAGGCAGGGAGACCCTGAAGAGAAACCTTGACAAAGCAGGGCAATCACCAACCATATGAAGTTGAACAAGAGAAAGTGCTGGACTCTGCATCTGGGATGGGACAACCCTGGATGTATGGACAGACTGGGAATGAGGTGCTGTAAGCAGTGCCATGGAAAGGGACCTGGGGGTCCTGGCAAGTTGAACATGGTCAGCAGTGCCCTGGCAGCCAGGAGGGCCAACCCTGTCCTGGGGGGCATCAGGCACAGCATCACAGCTGGGCAAGGGAGGGGATTGTCCTGCTCTGCTCTGAGCTGGGGCAGCCTCACCTCCAGTGCTGGGGGCTGGATGGGAGTGTCACGATATGAGAAAGACATGAAACTGTTAGAAAGTGTCCAAAGGAGGACTACGAAGATGGTGAAGGGCCTTGAGGGGAAGCTGTATGAGGAGCAGCTGAGGTCACTTGGTCTGCTCAGCCTGAAGAACAGGAGACTGAGGGGAGACCTCACTGCCGTTAAAATTTCCTTGTGAGGGGAAGAGGAGGGGCAGGCTCTGAGCTCTTCTCTGTGGTGACAGCGACAGCACCTGAGGGAATGGCCTGAAGCTGTGTCAGGGGAGGTTTATGTTGGATGTTAGAAAAAGGTTCTTCACCCTGAGGGTGGTTGGGCACAGTAACAGCTCCCAAGGAGGTGGTCCCAGCACCAGCCTGAGAGAGCTCAAGAAGTGTTTGGACAGTGCTCTCAGGCACACGGTGTGACTCTTGGGGTTTTCCTGTGGCAGGAATTGGGCTTGATGATCCTTGTGGGTGCCTTCCAACTCAGCATATTCTGAGATTCAGAAGGGGAAGAAGAAGTCTCCAGAATACATGATTTTCATATCAGATTCTTAGAGATAATTTTTCTTCTAAACCTGCCAGGTTGGGGCTTTTTTTGGCTCCCATGAAGTTAACCATGCAGCTCAACCTCTACACTCCCTAGGGCAACACACTCTGCAGAAGTCCCAGGTTTTGTCACTCTTTATTGACCACTGTGTCCAAATGATACACTAAAACAAGGTAATGTCAAAGATGTCAATATTAGGTGAAAAGAAACCTTTTTCTGCCTTCATAGCTCTTTCTATGTAAGGACTCTTTGGACATCTTACGACAGCCTATGATGCGTAGAAAGTTGATGTATCTGCCTTTACTGATTTATCCTGATTGCTATTGCACTTTAAGCATTTTAAAATATTTTTAGACATTTAACTGGTGGCTATTTTACAGCACATTTCCTAATTAAAAAAGCTATTACAATACAGGGCCTGTAGCTCTTTTAATTCTTCATCTCCAGTCAAAAAATTCTATTGAAAACTCTTGGTGTCCCTGCAGCAAAACCAGCACAGACTTAAGACCAGAAGATATTTCAATGGAGTTACATGAAAGACTAACAGTGGAAAGTAAAAGTAAGAAATCATGAATTAATTCAGTTATTTGGATAACACTCACTTCTTGCCAAGCTAAAAACTTGGAGAAATTCCAAGCATACAAGGATAAATCATTAGTCAGGAAAGAAATCCTCTCTTCCCTCCTTAAAATGGAAGCTTCACACCCCTGTACCCACACTTTTGCATATGGAGAAGCATATGAGCAATTCACAGTGACTAGCAGCTATCATTTGCTGAGAAGTGGAACTAATTTCTCAACAGCAAACCACTTGGAAAGTAATAAAAATACCACAAATATTTAATGAGCCATACTGTCCTTTCTGCAGTCCCCACCTTTTCACAAATACATCATGCTCCCCAAAAAAAAGAAAAAGAAAAAAAAAAGGAAAAAAGAAAAAAAAAATCAAAATTAGCAATTCACAATGTTTTGCAAATATTATCTTTTTTGGCACCCAGAGTCAAATGCCTGCAGAATAGTATTCAAGCATAGAACACAATCATAAATAACAAAGCATCTCATTATTTCATTGCACAGGGTAAGAGGCAGAGATTCTAGTTAGATGGGAAGAAGTAACAAAGAGTTAAAAAGAGAGAGAGTGAGAGAAAGAACAGGAATTTTTTGGGATAGCATAAAAGAGAAAAAAACAGAAAAAAATATGAATCACATCCTCAAATATTTTAGGCCAAAATGCTGAGTCATGGTGGTTCCTAACTTATTTTGAAAGAGTGGCAGCATTTAAAACTACTTATCTAGAAGAATGAGTAGATATTAAAAGGTGCCTCATATAATTTCAGTCCCCTAAAGGATTGTGCTAGCTTTCAGATTCCAATTCAGCATTATATGTTTGAGAATTCAGCTTGTGATGCCACATATATAGAAATGCATTTTGTGCAAGCAATGAAATTGATGCAGCTAGCACATTTCTGAAAAATATCTGTGGAGCCATCCATGTCCCCACTTATTCCAAGATGGTGTAGGACCTTTCAATTAAAGGTCCAGTTTTAGAGGTTAAGGATATTCTAGTATTTTATTTGAGACTGTGTGAAACTGTGTAGGTTTTCTTAACAGAGAAACATGGCCACTATTGAACTGAAAAGAAAATGTCTCCGCAGAGATTCACACTGGTTTAGATTAGCTTAATTGAATGTGACATCCATTTTTTTCGCATTTACAAAAACCTCTCAGCATCTTTAGAAAGAATTTCTGACACTGACTTTTAATGATTTTAAGTTACACCATTTCATTCAGGAGACTGTTTCACAGTTGTAAGTCACTGTCATGAAAGTTAAAATCAACATATGCAATGGAAAATGTCTTTTGTTTTATTTTTATTTCTCAATAGATGTATGATTCAGTTTACATTGTTTTACACCATTACCTTCGATAAGATTCACTCAATGTAGTTAACAAAAGTGCAAGGAAATTATTAAAAAAGAGAATTAACTATCAAAAACATGAAACTGACAAAAGCAGTAGTACTGGCCTGCATGAAGACAGTACTGAAATATAGAAAAGACCACAGAGCAATGCACCCTCCCTGCTTCCCACCCTCCATCCCTTTCTCTACCATTTTCCTCCTTTAAACCAAACCAAAACTTTTTCACTAAAGGGGAGGCACAGAGCTACCAAGAAAAAGGATCAGCTGAGGATGTATCTAAGTCATTCAAATTTTCAGAAAGCCACAAAGGTCAATCTTAGGCACAGATCTTCCCTCGTGTCTTTTTTCTTATCTTTAGGTGGGGTCATTAAATAAAGCAAGCATCGTATGTCACTCTTGTTTCTAGAAGGTAGGTGCTTGTGTTTCCTCTGGAACAGTCCTATGTACTATGGTTTGACTATGTAACAGAGCTTTTCACAGCAGGTGGCATAATGAGAGTTTAGATGAATGACAATGCATGCTTCCATGGACCTAAAATAGGACAGATCTAGGTTCACTAAACTCCAACAGATTTGGCAGCTTATTTTAGTTTGCAAAGAATGAAGTAGAAGGAAGAGGTGATCAAGGCCAGATGATTACCAAAGAAGGTAGCTTAAAACTACATTGGTTTTTGTTTGAATAGATACAAACAAATCATTATTGTATAATGTAGATATACGTTGATCTGCATGAGTAACTCCAGCTGGCATCAGTTGGCAGAGATTCTCCTCCTGATAAAGGATATATTAAAAAGCCAATCCTTTATCTACAAACTAAATTGCAGTCTACAGGTTCCCTGGGTCAGAAAAATATCTGATTTGACGTGAAAACAGTTCTTCAGAAATTCACTCATTTGAAAAATTCAGGACTCTACCACTTGCCTTGTTTTCAGTCTGTGATCAAAGGAAACATACTGCATCTATCTAGCTATAGCCAAGCTTTCATGAGCCTGAACATGTCAAATCTGTGGCTGTTGAGCACTCTGAACTGTACTTACTAATTCTGCTTCTGACGTGCCGTGGAAGATAATTAGTGAGTGACTACCAATCTAAATCCAGAAATCCACCTTACATGCTTTCTCCTTTAAGATAAAGCAGAAGTATCAAATGAAAACACATGCAATTTTGTCATGTTGTAGACTATTGGTGGAGCACAAGATTAGAGTGAGGGTCTCTTCTCATCTTGTGGGGCACATTTACTCTCTCAGTTTGACCTGATTAATCTAAAATTAATTTAAAGTCACTTTCAGACCAAAGAGAAATGATCAAAACAATAGAAATCAGTTTCTAATATATGGAGCACAATGGCTCTCTGGCCATTAGGATGAATCTGATTGTGTATTATAGCTTAACCATTGATTCTTGTCCCTGATTGTTCTGATGCAGCAGGAAGAATAAATGCACCTGAGTTTTTTCACTGCAGGAGACTGAAAGAATATTCTGTATCTCCACTCCAGGCTTGAGGACTGGACATAAGGATGTCACAAAAAAATCAATGGATTTGTAACTGGATTTATGTATTCCTGTGACTAAGTTGCTGTGCAAAAGGTACAAAATCCTCAGTCATAAAAAGGAAGAGAAGAAGTAAATGGGTAACACAAGTAAGTGTGATGCAGAGTGATAGCAACTAAACTTCAGAAAATCCAAACAGAAAGCTGAAAATATAGTACACTTCAATCAAAATACAACTTGTGAGATATACTAATCATTACTTGCCTCGTGAAAGACAAGTGAAAATTATGATGGTTGTATTTGAGAAGGTAAATTGCATCATAGACTCTTGTCAATGTTAGTGTTTCTAAAGACAACTTACTTTTGATTTCTGCTACTGGATTTTTCCTGTGGCTACACTATGGTTCTGAAATATTTATTCATGAGAAATGCATTCTGAGATGACATTGAATACTAAAAGCATTACTTCTGCATAGGCACAGGAATAATATACATCTATGTATGTATTATACTGCAACAAGTGTTTCCCTACAACTACATTTAGATGCCAATAGAATATTGATGAATCTCAGAAGGCTACTTTTGAAATAACAGATATGATACTTCACTATAAAAAATAAAAACCTTAACATACTCACATTTAAGGCTACAATAAGAAATTACCTTTTTATCTTGATTGTAATGAAGACTGAAGTAAAACACACTGCAAAAGCTTTATCTCTGGTAGCCATATTGGAGTGGCCCAGGTTAATGGCTCCTTACAGGTTCTTGAGAGGTGTATTTAAGCAACATAGACACTACTGTTCACCTGTTAAAATCTACTTTCAGACATCTTTTTTTATATTGGTACCACCCCTGTGAACCAGATGCTTAATCTGGGCAATGGAGCGCAGCGAGGCAAGACCATTCTAAGAGCTCAGGCCTGACACAGATGAAAACAGCATCTCCCAACACCTGGTGCAAAGGTGCACAGGACCATCTCCCACAGCCTGCCCCAGAACCAGATGGTTATATTTGTGTATCAACAGCAAATACAGAAAGAGGGAAACAGGCCTTATCACTTCCCATCCTCCCTGAGGAATGATCATGAGTAAGTCATGCAATGAAGATTCTCTTAAAATGTTCAAGATTACTCAACACTAGAAAGGAACTGTGTTTTTAAAAAGAGAGAATTAATACTGTTATTATACAAATACTGTTATTTGTCCTAAATTCCCAAGATTAAAAACAAGTGTGAATAGGTGGCTAACTTTTCTACAGGCCTCAAGATTTTCCCCATCCCCAAACATGCTGCTAATCTCTAAATTTAACATAATGAAAACATCTGTCTGGAATTATAATCAGAATGATGGACAAGAGGCCTTGATCCTACAATCAGGTCTCAGTTCAGGGATAATTCCAAATTGTAGAAATGCTAATTGCACTAGGACAAAAAGCATGTGTTGGAAATTTAGTATGGAGTTAACTGCTTTCCTGAATTAGTATGATAGAACTGCAGTGCTTTTGAATCAGCAGAAAAATTTCCTGAGATTTCACTGAGCCCTGATTCAGGCCCTAATTACTTCCTTCTTAAATTGCTAGAATGAGGATTTCAAACTGCAATTTTTTTTGCATTGCAATCAAGCATACAATTAATACTCCAGGAATAAACACGCCTAGTTTTTAAAGGTTATTCATTGCTTTTCAATAATAAAGTAAACTGAAGTCACTTAGCAATTGTTCAAGTGATTTAAAAATCTATAAATTAATTTCCCTTCTTGAATGCATTGTAAAACACGGCATCAAATAAGCACCTACAATCTATGTTGTACTGTGCCATATAATCTGCAACTATGGTTTTGCATATGTTCTTTGCAAAAAGTATCCCATTGTATTTTCTTACCTGAAATAGCAGAACTGAAATGTTGAAAACAAAGACTTGAAAAAAGAGTTGTAACTGACTGAGCCACCAATAAACACATGCAAAAATGAGTTATTCAAAAATGGAGAAAATGAAAATAGGACCAAGAAAAACAAAGAAAAATGTAAACACAAAAAAGACACTCAGAGGGCTTCAAAAAAAGCTCATACAAACAATTCTAAAATATTTCTTACCTTCTTCAGTCATTGTGTCATAATATTTTAGGTTTCCATATGATCCAAGCTCTATAACATCACAGTAAAAGACACAGAGATAAGGAACCAGCAGACATTAAAGAAATGTACATGTTTTTGCATGTGCTTCATAAACTGGAACAGTGATTATGCAAAACATTTTCCAGGACAACGAAACACAGATTACAGAAATGGCACTGCTTTCCCCCTCCAGAATTTCACAAGTCATTGACTTTAGCTAAAGTGTTAAACTTGCTAAAGTGAGATGTAGGAGAAGCACTGAAATCTAAAACTTAGCCTTTTCAAGTTTCTTGCCAATTTGGTGTCTTTACATCTGGGAAAAGATAATAAACCTTGAGAGTACCTAAACAGCAGCAATTTTGCATACTAAGCTCATTTATCATTCCCCGGGTCAGACATTCAAAAACGTCTGTATCCAAATTAAACAAAAAAGTTTCAAAACACATAATTTTAGGAGCTGTTCATAATGCAGTCTCCCAAACACTGTTTTGATACCAGTGCTGATATTGCCTGGCTTTAGAGGGGCTACTTAATTTAAACACTCTCTTGTCACTTTTGAAATCAGAAAAATAGTTACTTGCCTCATCAGGTGATATGACGCCTAAATTCATTCAATCATTCAATCTGTCTGAAAATAGTGCATTACCAGATTCTATCAGGGCATTAAAAAGAATGGAATGCAAAGGTCTCCAGATCTTTAGGGCTACTACTGTTTGTTTCTGCGTGATAAAATTTTGCATAAAATCACCTTTTTACTACAGTGGCTTTACACTATTTTTTGAAGTGCTTTTTTCTTAACATTTGGCATACGTGTTATTGTATGCATAAACACAATAATTAATATAAACCTACAAAATAGGACAATGAAAAATTAGTCTCAAGGAGGAATTTGTTAATGGTCAGGCTGAGGAATTTGTGCATGACCACTCATCATTTTTATGCGAAGTTTTGCAATTGCGTTTCTGAGCATCTAACCTTTGACAGAATGTAACCATTAAAAAGTGAATACTTAACAGTTTGATGATGCTTTTTTCTTTGCAAATATTGTCTTTCATATTTATGAAACACCTTAAGAAATTAAATGCAAAAGTGATATCCAATTATTTTGTTTTCCAATGATGCATGATGATTTTTCAACAATTTTTCACAAAGGTGAATTTCAGTAGAGACATGGTTATTAGTTTTTAACTGTAAAATACTGTGATGATATAAATGTATAGAGATACATTTAAAAGAAAAAGAAATCTTACATCATTTGCAGGGACAGAGAATGCCTTAAGCCATGTAACTAAAATATACAGGATATTATCACTGGGGTTTTTTTAGTAAGTATGATTGGGTTGTAATGATTTTTCATAGGCATATTATAAAGAAACTTTACAAGTATTCATACACTCTTGCTAATAAAATGTAGTGTCTTACTTGCCCATAAGTAAGCCAAATAGAATAGGACATTAAGTCCCTCTTATGGCAAAGTCCCTCTTAAAGCAAAGAAAAATGTAACTTAAAGACAGAATTTAATATATTGTTTTACAGCAATAAAGAATGCATATACTGTTTTTTAAATTTTTCTTAGTCTTGCAACAAAATCTTTGCAGCTGCTAGTACACATAAGAAGCTATTGTCTTACCATCCTAATTTTAGTCCTTACCTGGAAAGAGCTCTCAATAACTTCAATATAGGCACCCCTATATACAGCATTTGGAACTACTTGTCCTATTTAATTAGAGCTCAATATTTGCTGAATCTACGGGCAGCACCTTTGCTTGTATTTATTCTCACTGATCTTTGCCTTCATGTGTCTGGGGTCTGCTTTGCTAGAACCTGGCCTGAGGCATTCACTGGAGATTGAGGACAGGACTGGAACATACATTCCAGAAAGAGTCCGCCAAAAGGAGGGTAAAAGTAAAGAAAACAAATGGAGGCACACGGAGAACAAAATGTTAGCAGAGAGGGACTGCATGAATGAAGTTGAGAAGAGCATTGCACCACAGCAACAAACTTCAGAACTAACAGAATAGCATGAGGCTTCTGACTCTGCAGATGAAGCAGAAGAGATTTCAGAGGAAACCAACAACAACCGTGAATTCTAAATCTCAAAACAAAAAACTGAAAAAACGGAGTGGAAGCAAGGCAGGACATTTCACACACTGGGAATCCCATTAAAATCTATTTACTGCCCATCTGAAGTGAGAGATAAAAGACAAACAGTAAAGAAAAAAAGGGTCAATCTGACCTTACAGAGACCAAAAGAGAAGAGAAACAAGGTGATGCATGACAGCGAATGATGCTGATGATAATCATGTTCTGGGAACTTCAGCAATTCAACACACCAAGGATTATACCAGGATAATTCCTACAGTTTGCAAAATTATTTCCAGGAAAACTCCAATCTTGCTGGTAGGATCATGCTCTCCAAAGCTTATAGTCCTATACCCAGAGTGGAACTCTTTATACAATCATCAGCCCACTGACTGCAATGCACTACCCAGAAAACATCAGCTGCATGTATTCATATGTATTATATTTGAGGGTTTTAAGATTACTTAGGTCAGTGCTGCTTGGCAGCATGACAGATTTGCCTCTGCACAGTCTGCTTCCAATATATGGTACTTCTGCTGTAAAATTTAGACTAAATATGCTCTTTGTTTTTGAGTTCTCCCATTAACCAAGACATACCCTGTTTAATATAACTTTGAGTAATTAGAAAATGAAGTACTTTTTAGAAAAAAAAATTAAATTGGAAAAATTTCACAGCTTTAGAAGTAATCTTGTTTGAAATGGAATTGAAAAGGGTACTTGAAAAATTATCCCCGAATCCAATACAATTAAAATTTGACAATTCTGTTTTTGTGAATGTGCTATGCAGTTCCCATGGTGAGGTCATAATAGATAGACTGGATGGCAGCCAGTACCTGCATCCCTGTTGGTCACATGAAACAAAGAGGATGCAGAGATGCAGCTTAACAGCTGATCCCCAACAGTTACAGTCACTGAATTAATTTGTTCCCTTCTGCATATTTTTACACCAGAAAAGAACAGAAGGTTCCTAGTAATCCTGACTGACATTCCTGAAGGATTACAGCAACATTTGTCTTACTACGTACTGTGCTCTAATGTGTTTGTGGGTGTCACACCACATCAAAGCAAACAGAAAAATATTGTTGGTTAATGGGGCTATGTTATTTGTGATTTCAAATTCAAGACACCAAGCATGGCTTCACCAAGAGAAAAATCCTGCCTGACCAACTTAGTGACCTTCTACAATGGAGTGACTACATCAGTGGACAAGGGAAGAGCTACAGATGCCACTTACCTGGACTTCTGTAAGATCCCCTCATGCTCCCTCTCACTGAATTGGAGAGAGAATGTATCTGTGTAAGTGGAAAGAAATTGACTAGATGGCTGCATCCAGAGGGTCACCTGGCAATGAGTGGTGTCCCTCTGAGACCAGTCTTATTTAATATCTTCATCAACTACATTGACAGGGGAGATTAAGTGCATTCTCAGAAAGTTTGAGGAACATCAAGTTAAGTGATGCAGTTGCCACATCTGAAGGACAGGATGTCCTTGAGAGGGACCTTGACAAATGGGAATGGGAATTTCATAAGGTTTAACAAGACCAAGTGCAAGGCACTGCACCTGGGTTGGGGCAGTCCCTGGTTCCAGCACAGGCTGGGGAATGAACAGATACAGAGCAGCCCTGCCAAGAAGGATTTGGGGGTGCTGGGGGATGAGAGGCTGGACATGACCCAGCCATGGGCACTCACAGCCCAGAGAACCAAACATGTCCTGGGCTGCATCCAAAGCAGCGTGGGCAGCAGGGCCAGGGAGGGGATTCTGCCCCTCTGCTCTGCTCTGCTGAGAGCCCACCTGGAACCCTGCATCCAGCTCTGGGGTCCCAGCACAGGAAGGACATGGACCTGTTAGAGAGAATCCACAGAAGGGCCACCAAGATGATTAGAGGGATGGAGAACCACTCCTAGGAAGACAGAACATTTGGGTTGCTCAGCATCCAGAAGAAAAGGCTCTGAGAAGACCATAGAGCAGCCTGTCACTTCAAGGGGAACTGCAAAACAAATTGGGACAAACTTTTTAGTAGGAGTTGCTGTGGTAGAAAGAAAGTAGATTCACACTAGAAATAAGGAAGGTATTTTTTAGATGGAGGATGTTGAAAGAATGGCTCAGGTTGTTCAGAGAGATGAGGTAAATTCCCCATGCCTGGATATATTCAAAGTCAAGATGTACAAGGCTCTGAGCAACCTGACTGGTTGAACATATCCCTGCTCGTTGCAGGGAGATTGTACTAGATGATCTTTAAACATCCATTGCAACCAAACTATTCTATGACTCTATTAAATAAGATAGCTAATAACTCAGCTAATTTTACTCTCACTAAGTATAGTACATACTGGCTGTAATGAAATACTAATTTCTGTCTTTTAAGTATATAGCCCCAGGCTGCCATAGAAGAAAAGCAGAATCAATATTTCTCTTCACTCTCCTGCAACTAAGATCTTGGCTACAGACTGTAGTTGACCCAAGTAAGGCCAGAAATTAGCCTGTCTCAGAGTTTCTAAACTTCTTATAAGCCATACAGCTATTTTAGAGACAGCAACCTGCATTACTAAAGGTGTGTATCCCTTCATGGAAAAGTCAGATGATGACTTTTGTCAGACATGTATCCCTTCATGTAAAGTCAGACTGAAAGAAACTAATTGTGGATTTCTTCAACAAGCATGAGACTTTCACTTTTCATAAAAAATATATTTGTATGAGAATTCATGTCACACTCCTCCAAGTTCATTAAAAGCTTCAAAGTTGATATATCTATTACCTAAAACAAAACTGGTACAAAGAAATTACTGATGGCAACCCCCTAATTTTTAGCACAATTACATGGTTGAGTCATGAAGGTGTCAAGGCTTCTTTAATTTGCCTTTTTAAAAAAGAAGGCAAAAAATTTGGTCAAAGGAATTAGAGGAATTCATATAATAACATCAAGGAGAACAAGGATGTCTTTACTGTTT